TATAGGCTTCAAAGACATTATGCTGGAAACTAATTGTAAAATTCTTGCTGATGTCCTTTGCTCAAATCCGGATGCGTCTCCTTCTTATAGCCAAGTTATATTAGAGACTTCCAAGCTTTTGAAGCACAATGGGTATGTTCGAACAATTCACATCCCAATATCTCAGAATCAAGTGATTGATTGTCCTTCTAAAAAGGCTCTTAATACCTTTGGTTATTACTATAGCATTCTCCTTTCTGTAAGGAATCTTGTTCTTAATGATTGTACGGGAATTATTTCCCACTCTCTCTACCTAAATAATACATTGGGCACTGCCCTCTTTTCCACCTAAATATATATATATATATATATATATTGTATTGGTGAAATTTAAAGGAGAGTGACAATTTATTTCAATAAGAACCCATAAATTCTGGGTCATATGTTGTCATATAAAACATGTATATTTTGTTATTAAATCTTAGCATATTTTTTTATTAGAGTTTCCTTAAAATTTAAGGAGTTAATATTCAGATTTTAATAATAATATATATGTATTTTCACAAGATAATCTAATACAAAATTTATGAGTCTTTATTGACATAAATTTTGTGGAGAACGATCTTCAATATCATTCGAGTACGTGCAACTTGCGAAAAAGAAAGACAAGCTGCAAATTCAAGATATCAAGGGAGGCCACACGAAAAAATGCTGAAACTAGCAATATCACAATATTTAAATCCCTTAATGAAATAAGCTTTCAGTTTTTTCTTTAAAAAAAAAAGATCTCATTTTTTTTTCCCAACCCGAAAGGGGGGGGGGGACTCATCAGTTTACGGCACAAAAGATACACTGAAGAAGTGAAGATGATATGACGAATCCTTTCCTATTGTTTTTTTTTTAAACCATATTATGAAAGACTGAGAGTCCATACGTTTTTGGTAAAAAAAAAAAATATATTTTTCACGGCAAATCTTGTCCGTGTTTACTCTTTACTATTTTTTACACCTTATATATTTGATATTTAAAAGTCAAAAAATACTTAATCAATAAAATGGACACCCTTTTTGTGCCAAAAAGGTCAAAAAATACCCAAAGATTTTAATTTTATTCTATTAAAAAGAGATTATATCTGTTTTTTCCCCCCAGAATTCCCCAAACACATTAACTAACAAACTTAGAGATAAATTTGCTCAAAAAGATTAGAGATAAAAATGTGCAATCATTAAACAAGACCAAATTACCTGTTTTTGTGGATCTAAAACGAGTATTTTATATTAGTATATTGATTCTAAAATACCAGCGTTGAGGAAGAGGTCAATTGACTTATTCTGACTCTCTCTTCCTTCCTCTTCCCTTCTCGTCAAACCCTATCAATGGCGACCGATCTGCCACACATTCTCGTTCTGGGTCCTCCGATGATCTTCCGAGACTTCCAATCCCAACACTCTCACACTTTCAACTTCCTCAACTTCTTCGACTCTTCCCTTTCTCTTCCCCAATTCCTCTCCTCCCACAACATTCATCCCTCTTCCGTTCGCGCCATTCTCTGCAACCCTATGCAGCGCCTCAACGCCGATGTCCTCCGCTCTCTCCCCTCCCTCGGCCTCATCGTCACCACCAGCATCGGCACCGATCATATTGACATGCCCGAGTGCCGCCGCCTCGGCGTCCGCGTCGCCTCCGCCGGAGGAGCCTTCACCGACGATGTCGCCGACCTGGCCGTCGGGTTGTTCCTCGATGTTCTGATGAGGATTTCTACCGCTAATCGACGTGTCAGGGAAGGGCTTCGATCTGATGAACTCCGGAATATACCCCCGGCTTTACGGGTAATCTTTTTTTTAACTTAAAGTTGCCACCTAAACTGTGCGTTATTGCCCGAATAATCTAGAATGTGAATACCTAATTTTTTTTTTTTTTTTCAGTCTAACGACGCAATTTCGGTCTTGATACAGATGTATAAACTATAGAAGATAATAGTTTCGTCGAAATAAGTAAAAAAAAAAAAAAAAATATATATATATATATATATGTTTTTTTTTTGCCAAAGTTGAAGTAGGTAAAATAGAATTTTACTTTTTGCTTTGAACATTATGGGCCAAGGTGATTGGGCCGGATCGGGAATTTAAAACGAGTTTATAAAAACGTGAAGTTCATCTTGTACTCTCGGGACTCGGTTTCGACCGTGGTGCTCAGCACCAAAAATACTGCGGTTTGGCAGTGTTTTTTTTTTTAAACCACAAACTGATTATAATAATAATAAATAAATATTATAAAATTATTATTTTAATATTTAATAAATAAATAAATATTAAAATGTTAAAATTGAACTTGAATATTTTGACTCATTAAAATTTGACTTAAACAGTGCATATATAAATTTTGATTTAAATAGTTTAGAACTGTACTGAAAAATTAGAATTATAACTAAAAATATTTTATTGTTTTATTGATTTTGCATAATTAAAGGCATGATCGAATATTAAATATAGATACTTTTTTTAATAGGAATTCAAATATTGATTGATTACTGTGTAAGAAACTAGCTTATTTTGCTAGAATGAATCTTAATTTTAAACCCTTCAAATCATTTTTTTTATATTTTTCAGTACAATTTTGAAATGTTCAAATTAAAATTTTTATTTAAACCATTGTGGTTTAATTTTAACATCTTAGTATTTATTTGGTTATCAAATATTAAAATAATAATTTTATAATATTTATTTATTATTATTATAATCAGTTTGTGGTTTTAAAAAAGAAAAAAAAAAAAACACTGCCAAACGGCAGTGTTTTTGGTGCTGAGCACCACCGAAACCAAATTGGTAATCTCGTGTGGCCGAAAAAAGAATGTTACAGTTTGTTGGCAGAGAAATACCAAACGGCTTTTTTTAGATGTTCGCAATGCCATAAAGGTTAAAGACTGTCTACTTGAGTTATCAAAAAGAAAAAAGAAAAAGGACTGTCTAATTGATGTCACAAAAGAAGAAGAGACTAATTGATATTTAATCATCATTAACAATTAATTTTATGATGATTTCAACAACTATTGCTAATATAACCTTTTAAAGTTACACAAGCCTAAGAATACTTGAGCTTCAGTTCACCTAAAAAGCATGCGTTGAGAAAACAAATTGCACTTTTGATCTGTCAAGTGGAGTCGAGATTTCATTGCAAAAGACCAAAAGGAAGCAAAGTACAATTAAGGGATGGTTTAGAAAGGGATCAAAAAAGATGTTGTAGAAGTTGCGGTGAAGACTTGAGATGGTTGTTTCAGGTGGGAGGCAAGCGAGTCGGGATAATTGGATTGGGAAAAATAGGGATGGAAGTGGCGAAGAGGCTCGAACCCATGGGGTGCAAAATAATGTACAATTCAAGAAGCAAGAAACCATGGGTGGCGTACCCATTTTACGGCAGTGCGGTGGAGCTGGCAGCTAATAGCGACGCTCTGGTTGTGTGCTGTGCATTGACAGAGCAGACGCATCACATAGTGGACAGGCAAGTGATGGAGGCGCTGGGAAGAGAGGGAGTGATAGTGAACGTAGGAAGAGGGGGTCTGGTGGAGGAGAACGAACTGGTGAGGCGTCTGGTGAGTGGGGAGATAGCAGGTGCCGGCCTGGACGTGTTTGAGAATGAGCCTCTCGTTCCCAATCAGCTCTTCTCTTTGGATAATGTTGTGCTCTCCCCTCACGCTGCTGCTCTCACTTCCGAGTCTTTCAATCACATCTCCCAACTTGCCGCTGCTAATCTCCACGCCTTCTTTTCAAATCAACCCTTGCTCACTCCCGTCACGCTGGACTGAACTGAAGGAGGTGTATTTCAGGAGACATCGTCAGCCAATAAATAAGTGTGTTTTTTCTGTGCTCCAGCTGTGGTTCTAACAATGACGATATGTGTTTAAATATGAGTTGCAATAAATAATTTGAGTTTGGGAAGCTATAGTTCCCACATTATTGCTCTGCTCTGTTCAACCTGCCCGAATCAGAGTAAGCCTTTTGTTCCGTTCACGAATTCTTGGATGATTGAAGGATTCAGGTTATTTACATTCTCAAAATCAATATATAGCGATATGCCATGATGTCAATGGACCTGTCCCTAACTCAGCTGCTTCCTCTAATTTTTTATATGCTTTTATTTATTTGTTTTCTTAATCTTAATTTTTTATTTAAATATATTCAAAAATTAATTAATATCTATATCTGTGTGTGTATAAATATAACATTTTGCTTTATAATATTTGAAAATTATGTTGAAAGCGTGGTTAACGTCACCCCTTCCTTTCACAACATATATTATCTAAATATTTAATTTGAATTATTTAAGGATTTCACAACAATTCTTAAATTATTAAATATTATCTATTTTATGTGCTAAGCAGTTTTTTGAGATTGCCGTCCATAGTCCCATCATAACTTCAAAGTATTCTTACCATAGGCAGGGACGTACTTGGGTTGAGCAAAGTGGGCACAATTGCCCAACCACTAAATTAGCAAAATTTTGGCAAACTTTATTGTGAAATTACACTTGCCTCCTCTTAAAAATTGCAATTGCCCCTATTTACTCCTTTATTTATTGTAAAATTAATTTTTGATGCAAATAAAATTAATATATATATTTAAACTTCTCATATAATTTGTTTATATATTACTTTAACTAATACTTATAAAAATATTTTATTCAAAAATATTAATATTTATATTTTGTATTAATGTTGCCCTCCACTAATAAATTTTTCCGGTCCGTCACTAATCATAGAGTGAACAAATTGTTACCGTTGACTTTTAGTTGTCAAAAGTGGTTTGACAGGTTTTATAATTCCTCTACATTGTTTAAATGTGTTTTAAAAAGCAAAAATATTGTAGTCGTACGGGAGGGGTGGTATCAAATAAAGTTGTCGGCGGCGGGAAACTTGCCTTCAGTTGTTTCAAGCGGTGCGTTGTTGTTTCTGATTTAGGCAAATGAGGATACAATGAAGAGAATATCTTTAATATTGAAAATCCTAGATGCATGTATTATCCGATAAGTATCTACAATATCAACAAGAAAGTGCGCAAGTCATCAGACAGATAGTCATGTTTTTTTCAATAATAACGAGAATGACCAGAGTTCAGTGAATTCACTTACATATATGGAGCCCATGCCATGAAACACTCTCCTTTATTCATACAAATTGCACTATATATCTATAGTGGGATTCTTTCAAACAGTGACACAGGAAGGTACATGTAATTGCAGAGAAAGAGGCCTCTTTTTGGTTTTTCTGCTATCCTTTTCTTTTTCCCCGTGAGACCCACCAAAGTATAAAGCTAATATGGGAAGAAAGCAGCCTCTTTAACTTTATTTGATGTCACCTTCTAAGTTATATGTTTTTCTCTTGTAGCCACCTCGAGAAAGCATCAAAGGTTCTCGTGTCTGCCCTGTAATGTCTCTGAGTGAACTCTAGAAGTTTTGGCCATGTGAAGTCTGGATATATTCTTGGATTTTCGTCGGCAACTAGAAGCTCTGGAGGAGCCACTACTTTGTCCCATCTTGGACACAGAAAGAAAGCAAGCGATTTCCTCACACTCGTTTTGTTCACTACTGCTCTATGCAAGCAACTCTTGTATATCCCGTTTGATAGAGCCTGAAATTGTCAAATAATAATCAGGCCAATATAATGTTATTTTCTTTTTTATGTATAGTGGGTGAACCTTTCCTATGAAATGAGACGTATCATTCATTATCTCCATCAATAATAGAGTATCCATGTGCTTAGTTCGAAGAATGATGTCACTGAGTACTTGACATATCTTAGACACAAGTGCAAGATCTTATTTTGAATGTGTCCAGGATCTGGTATGCAATTGAAATGTACTTTTTTCTATATCGGAATAAACCAACAAACTGGTCTTTGAATGTTTGAGTTTATTTAGCAGAAATCTCTCAAGAGTTAGCGTGTCAGTCATCTCTTCTGTTTAGCAGGAGAAGCATACCATGAAGGTGTCGCCGATGTTGATGACGAAAGCATTAGGGTAAGGGGCCACTGAATGCCATGTTTGATTGGCAAGCACGTGGAGACCTCCAACTTGGTCTTGATGAAGAATGGTGAGGGAAGTGGGGTCGCAGTGGGGCCCAGTACCAAGAGCAAGGTCTGGGTTCTGGCATGGAGGGTAGTAGTTCAGTCTCATGATGGAATCATTCTCTTTGAAGAAGTCTTTGAAGTAGTTGCACCCAACTCCTAGGCTCGTTCCCAGAAGCTCCATTATTCCGAGCGACACATTGCTCATGGCTTCACAGTATTTTTGGTACAATCTCCTGAACCAAATAATAATTTCAAACACAACATGTAATAAGAAGGAGAATTATCGACAGTTGAATATTTGTGTAGAGATTAGGTCCATAAAGTGACCTGGAAGAAGAAGAAGAAGAAGAAATCTTTCAATTTATTACCCGAATTCCCTGAAATCTTCTCCCATAACGTTCACAAAATACTCTTCAACTGTTCTTTCAACGAACTGGTCATCAACTGCAGCAGCAGAATACCTGAAAGACAGCGTCTCTTTCCATGGAAGATTGGAGGAGAATCTTCCGGTGAAGCTACTGGCGTAGCCAATATGCTCTCCAGGCTTCCTCTGAGCCTTCTGCTTGTCACATAGCTTCATGCAGAAGAAACTATCCATGAGCTCATGGGCTTGGGCTATGAGTCCAGCATCAACCCCGTGGTTAACCACAAGGAAGAACCCATGGCTCCTGCAAGCTTCTCTCACCTGAGAGCATGCCTTGGCCATGGCCGCGGGGTCCCCAGAGAGAAAGCCCATCAGGTCAATTGGAGGGACTCGGAGTTCTGGTGGGCTCGGGCATGATGGCTTCTCATGGTCAGGCCATATGAACTGAGAGGGTATTTGAGATATATACTTGAGAACAGAAGCATCAAAAACCAAAGTTTCTGATAAACCTTCTTTGCTTTCTGTAGGATTTGGAGGTGAAGGAAAAAGAAACTCTGGTGCAGGAGGAGGCATTGGCAGTATATATTTCTTGAGACTCAGAAGAGTAGTGTGTAACGACCAGTGAAGAAGAAAGGGAAGAGGAAGAGATAAATTAATAAGGAAGAAGAATATTAATGGAGTTTGAAGAAAAGCCAAGAGAAGGCATTGGGGAAGTCGGGGAACACAAATGGGAATCTTATAAGAAAACTTCTTGTTTGCTTATGCTCGCTCTCTCTCTCTCTCTGTATGTGGATATATAGAAATATATGGATTGGTGCAGTTTATATTCTACAATATGTCAGCTATATATGGGGATTAGGAAGCACTATTTCATATCATGCAAGTGGCAAGCTATGCATTTCACATATAAAGGAAGGCAACTTTCCAATTGATTCGGCTGATTCTAGTAGAAATATATCATATTTCATTATAGGTCTAGTGATATTTGATTTGATTAGAATCAGTATCCCTTTGGTCGGAAATTCTTTTTTTCAGTCACTAAAAAATATTGTTTTCACTATTTATTTGAACCATGCAATGCTCTTGGCCATTTTTAAGTTTTATATGTATATTTTCAAACTAAAAATAAAAAAAATGGAAAAGTATTTCTATTATACATGAAGTAGAATTACAAATAAACTTATCATTAATAAAAATATTCTAATGCTATGTTTGGATGCATGGAGATTTAGATTTGAGCCAAATCTATTGTTTGGGTAATCCAAATCTAAATCCTACCTTAATTCTTTTGTAATTTTAAATCTTTTCTTAACTCCTATTATTTCAAATTTTAATATAAGCTTCTCTTTTCTTTCATGTTCGTTCATCAACTTCACTACCTTATGAACTTTGATATCATTGCCTTCGACCAACATCCATTGAGATTCGATTGCCAGCATCATTGGGACTAGACTGCTAGTGTTGATAGGGACTGGACTGTAGGTGACAACCCAAACTGAAATGCCGACACCAACTAGGATAGGATAGTTGGCGTTGACTGGGACTAGACCACTGGTACTGTCTGGGATCGAATGACTAACTTTGACCAAGATCACGCGGATGGCACTAATCAAGACCGAACTACCCATGTTGATAGAGACTGAATGACTGGTTGTGGCTAAGACTAAATGGTCGGCACCGGCCGAGGACGCACGATTAGCGTCAATCGATATAGGACTGCTAGCGATTACTAAGACCAGACCGCCAGCTGTGACCATTACCAGACCAATGACTATGATCGAGATTGAATAGTTGTTGTTGATGTAACATCCGAGAAATTTATGCTAGATTAATTATTTTAACAAGTATGATTAGTGAATTAATGAGATGTATGGCCAGATGGGTCTAAATTGTGAATTCAACCCTAGATGTGGGTTCGAGGTGAATACGGGTCATTCGGGCAAGGAAAAGAAGTGGAAAAGAGGAGAAATGCTCGCTGTGCCACATGCCACGACATGTGAACAATCCGCCGCAATGCACAGAGCAAAACCAACATTCATTGGGCCTTTCTATGCCATGCATCGTGGCGGGAGGCTACGTGTGTCATGGCATATGGCCAAAAATCAGACTTTATCAATTCATGTTTGTGTTCGAAAATAGAAGAAGAGGAAAGGAGAAATTGAAGAGAACAACTTGGCTCTACTTGGACACGCATATTAGGACCCTTGAGGATAGTTTGAAGCTTCCCAACACCTAAAGTAAGTATAATGAGCTTCCTTTCTTCCTTTTACTTGCATATTTATGAAGATTAATGTTAGGGTTTAAGTTGAAAAATTAATTTTTGATCCATAGGAGTGGGTCTGAACCTATTGACTAAAATGGATATAATAGGAGTAGTTTTGAGTATTCAAACCCTATATTGATGACTTTGTTAAGAGTTAGTTGGAAGGAGTTATTTTCATGCAAACTGCAATTAATACGATTATTGGGAGAGTTAATACTCATTAATAATGGTTAGATGACTTATTAATGATAATGTGGGTTAATGAAACCTAGTAAACCCATTAGGTATGAATGAGTAGTGAATTATGGGATTAATAGAATAGAGAATGTGGCGACTAATGTTGGTAAACTCACAAAAATAGGATAATGATGATATCCTTGTAATATGATTGTAGTGTGATTCATATTGGCACCATTCAAGCTTGTGAGAAGCTTTGAAAGTTGGAATTATAAGAGGTAAACCTTTAACCTCTCAAAAGTTTGAGATAGTTGAAAAAAACCTAGTCTATATAGTTAAATATTAATTGATTATTTGTGTAACATGGTCGATGGTTTGAACTGTTGATGCAATTGATAATGTGTTTAACTTGTGAAATGGTTTTGAAAATGAAAAGCTCTTATATGCCATCTATTTGTGATTGATGTTTTGATTAATGGTATGTTGTGGTGAAAGTGAAAAAATGTGATATTTTGAAAATGCACTACATGTGGTATATTGGTTATGGAGTTTATTAGAAGTGAGAAATCGATGTGAACTTGTGATATCATTGTGAATTGGGTCACATTGCACATTATATGTGATACGCGCATAGTATGATTATTGGCAAGAGTTCACTTAGGGAAAGGAGTGGTTGATAAATCCACATAGTATTAGCAGTGACCATTGGAATCAGAAACTTGCCTTGGCACTAATTATTGGAATTGGGAGGTAGCTCGTGTCCTATGATTGATTTGGGATTGTCCCACTTGTTCTATATGAAACTTAAACCTAACTAGTTTTTACTGGTTCATAAAGAGGCTAGATTAGGGGTACGACACCTCACATTTATTAGTATTAGAGGAAACTAGATTATACAAGTGAGTGAGTTAACCCTGGCCTGGTAGCTCCTCACAAGTAAAAGGCTGGGTTAGTTTGTGAAGGACGTATCCATATGATAGCCATCAGTTTCGTGTCGGAGGTAATAAGAGGGAATAAGTTTGACATTTGATCATGCATTTAGATTTGGCCATATGGTTACTATTATTATAGGTTGACATGTGTTAAGGGCGTATGGTTGGTATTATTGCGACCCCATGATGTGTGTTATCATTTATGTGGCTTTATGTGTGTTAGCCTGGTCACATGGTTGTTAGTATTGTGAACCGTGGCTATGTTCATCATTTATGTCATATATGTGTGTTCTTGCCTATTTACATATGTTTCAATTGATATAAAACTATATAGGTTAAGTAAAACTTGATTACTGAATAGTTGTACTCACCCCTCAATTCTCAATATTTTTAAGGCCTAGCTTATCGAATTAAGGTAGGGGAAAATGTGTTGAGGCATAGGGTTCGAGAGTAATCCTTTTGTATGCTTTTATGTCGTTTCTCTATGTATGAACATTGTTAATTTGCTAACTAGATTATATGCCATTGATTTTGAACCATTTGCACTAAATATTGTGTCATTTGTATTTTGTTCCTTGAGTTAGTGTGTTTTGATTATAAATCCTTAGATAAGGCCAAAATACTTGTACAAGTATGAACAAATATATTTTAATTAATTTGGAATGAAAATGAATGGTTTGTGCAAAATTCCTTCCCTTTATGTTTTATAAAAATTTAGGATTAAATGGTGATTTTATGTTATACAAGTTTTTGGCTGAGTGTGGTACGTTGCATACATTCTCTTGGGTCCATTGAGTATGGTTAGATAGTCGGTGTAAGCTTTTAGCACTTGTGTGTGAGTTGAGACACCATTGTTGTGAGTTTTATATTAAAAAGTGGTAAAACGGATTTTAGTATCCAACTCTTTGTAGAAAATAAATTTGAATGTGAAACTTGTGCCATTAGCTAGAGTTAGGAAAAAGCTTTGTGTAGATACTGAAACCATCTCAATGGGATGTCAGACGGAGATTTGGAACGCTTTGAAAGTTTGCTTCCACTGCTATCAAATGATAGCAGCTGTTTGCTGTTAAATTATGTGCAATGCACTGTGACAGATGACATAGATGAATGACCAGTGGTGCATATGTCCTTAGCCGTGGCGCATGTCACATTTTCTACATAATTTCATTGTTTTAAGTTTTAAAACTTAATATTTTAGGCCCCACTTGATTTTTAAGCTTTCGCATTACTTTGAAATCATGTTTTGAGCATAAGATTAGCATTTGGGAGAGGTTTAATTGTTGCAAGTGTTAAGATCTCTCATTAAATGATTTGAAACTTACTTCTCCTAAGTATTTATGTGCTTCTCCCATTTAAAATTTGAAAACTTGGTTCCTTCATTTGTGATTTATGTAAACTTGATAATTCATATTGGGTTAGACCTATGATTACCTTGATTATGGAGTTGATGATGTTTAATGGGTAAGGATCTTTCAACTTAGTATTAGTTTCTATGATTATGAGGACTTGACTATGGATTTGTGAATTAAAAGTTGAGTTTGCTTGTGAATTTTGCATTTACATATAGAAAGTTAGCAACTAACATTATACACATGCTATTTTTCCCTATTGAGCTAGCGCATGTTCTTTTCTTTTTGTGGGATAACTTTCATCCTTAAGAGGGGAGAATGGGGGCAGAGAAGAAATATGGCCGACAATATCTCGGTAAATGTATCAAGATAAGAGCGGGAAGTCTTGGTATGAGAAGAGAATATAGTTTCAAGTGAGCAAGTTGAGATGGGTCAAGGCTTAAGACAAGCTAGAGAGCAACCGAGATCTACTATGGGTAACGACAATATATTGCTCGAACTGAGGTCTATGATGAGGAGGATTGAGCAGAGGATTGATGAGCACGATAAGATTTTGAAGAAAAGACTTGAAGAGACTAGTAAGACCGTGGAGAAGCTCGGGAGGTAGTCATAGGGAAGTGAGATATGACAGAAAGGCATTTGGCCAACCTGAGGAAGATTATTACAAACAGAGTGAACCGAGGAGGTTGGAACCTGTGAGGCCTAAGGGGTAAGAGAAAGAAAGTTCTATTGACTTGGCTTTGAAGAAGTTCACCCGATTGAATCCTTTATCATTTGAGGGTTCAATGGAAAATAGAGTGACTAAAAAATGGATAGATCGATTAGAGATGATCTTTTTTGTTATGACTTGTACGTCGGAGTAGAGAGTACTTCTTGCCATATTCCTACTTGAGGATGCTGCAAACCCATTGCTATCTAAGATTAGTCTACGATCACCATCTTTGTTCCGTTTGCCTTCTTGGTCCAATGCTAGACACTACTATTAATGGGGGATGGGTTGATGTCATCATCCAAGTCCAATCCACAACGCTCGGACTGCTATAATCATCCTATGCTAATTCATAAGCATTGTTTGG